CATTTTGGGGTGCTCAGAGCTGATTTTGGGGTGCCCAGAGCAGATTTTGATGTACCTGGGACCCATTTTGGGGTGTCCCAGACTTTTTTTGGGATCTTGGACCAATTTTGGGGTGATTTCAGGACCCGTTTTGGGGCTGTCCCAAACCCTTTTTTTGGGATCTTGGGCCAATTTTGGGGTCATTTTGGGGCTGTTCCAAGCCCTTTTCTTTTGGCATCCTGGGCTGATTTTGGGGTGATTTTGAGGCCCATTTTGGGCTGTCCCAGACCTTTTTTTTAGGATCCTGGACCGATTTTGGGGTCCATTTTGGGCTGTCCTGAGTCCTTTTTTTTTTTTGGGATCTTGAGTCAATTTTGGGGTGATTTTGGGGCCCATTTTGGGGCTGTCCCAAACACTTTTGGGATCTGGGGCTGATTTTGGGGCTGTCCCAAACCCTTTTTTTTAGGGATCCTGGTCTAATTTTGGGGCCCATTTTGGGGTTGTCCCAGACCTTTTTTTTAAGATCCTGGGCCAATTTTGGGGTGATTTCAGGACCTGTTTTGGGGTGATTTTGGGGCTCGTTTTGGGGTGTCCCAGACCCTTTTTTTTGGGATCCTGGGCCAATTTTGGGGTGGTTTTGGGACCTGTTTTGGAGTGTCCTAGACCTTTTTTTTTGGAGATTTTGGACCAATTTTGGGGTCCATTTTGGGGTGTCCCAGACCCTTGTTTTTTTGGGATCTTGGACCAATTTTGGGGACCATTTTGGAGTGTCCCAAACCCTTTTTTTTGGGATCCTGGGATGATTTTGGGGTGATTTCGGGGCCAATTTTGGGATGATTTCAGGGCCAGTTTTGGGGCTGTCCCAGACCGTTTTTTTTGGGATCCTGGGCCCATTTTGGGGTCCATTTTGGGCTGTCCTGGGTCTTTTTTTTTGGGATCCTGGGCCAATTTTGGGGTGATTTTGGGGCCAATTTTGGACTGTCCCAGGCCCTTTTTTTGGGATCCTGGGCTGATTTTGGGGTGATTTCAGGGCCCATTTTGGGGTGTCCTAAACTTTTTTTTTTGGAATTCTGGGCCAGTTTTGGGGTGATTTTGGGGCCAATTTTTGGGTGATTTCAAGGCTCATTTTAGAATGTCCCAGACC